CTTTTTTTATCTGCATATCTCTTATCTTGCTTGTTTTCTTCTTATCAAACTAGTATGTTGATAGTATTTAACTGAGAAAGAAATAGCAGAAAGAAAAAGTTAAAATGTGTAAGGAATGATGATTTTTATTTTTTCAGCGTCCAACTCTCCCAAAATACTTGATAATGATGCTTTAATTCAGCAATGGAGCAAACACTACCAATTGGCTTTATTCGAGTTTTTATCAACTGTTGGAGCGCTATAGCTGGTACATTTTGCTTGTGTACATCAATTCTCATGACTCTAACGATCAAGAGATATGCGTCTGAAAGTCCTCAGCTGGCAAAAGAGGAGGACGCATTTGGTTATAAACTGGCCCATCGAAGTTTTTTCAAGAAAATCCATACTATTTTATATCAAATGACAGGTCTCTTTGAGAGAAGCATTTTTGATGGTGGGTGTAGATGTGGAGTGTGGAGTGTGGACGTGGGTGTGGACCTGAGTGTGGGTAGGGTGGAAACTAAAAGACCCGCCCATACCCACACCCATCCTAGAGAATTATCAACTTTTTTATGACAAATTTGAAGAAGACAGAGTCAACTGGTTCATTATCGAATATCAGTTTTGCAAGAAGGTTTCTTCAATTATTTTTTACTCGATGATATAAGAACCATTCTGACTACATGGATTCGATTAAAAGACAAAATCTGAGATCGATTGCTGCTTTTTTTACTATGATGTATCGTCTCATGGAAGTTTTAGCATAAGATTATTCTTAACTTGAAAAAAGAGAAATAAAAAGAATATAGCAAACAACCATCAATCGACATCAGAGATATCCATTACGGCTATTTTTCGTCGGGCCACATTGCTAAACTTTACGAATTTGTACAGGATTTGAGTATCCACTAGTGTAAAACTGAAAACTAGAAGAATCTCATGAATTCATAATAAAAGTACTATTTCAGTAAAATGAAAGCAGAGATTTTCGTAAGACTTGCTAAGAAACATCGAGACTGTGAGAGGAAGAGATGAACAAATTTCTTTCATCCGCGTCCACACTTTTCAGTACCTGGACCTGGACCCGAACCATACTCTTAATACTCATAATGAAATTTACTAATTGGAATCTAATAGTTACTCCGAAGATACAAAATGTTTTCTTCAATTATATGTATTCCATGACTAGCATACCTTATATATTTCTTAGGCAATCTTGATGATGACCTTATAATAATCAACTTATAATCAAATCTTACTCTTAGCTAGAGCCCATGGAGTTCGAACATTTTGGAATCCGGACTCAAACCTGAATCCAGCCAGGAGAAAATTTTCAGATTCGGATTCAATCGAGTTCGAGTTCTACCCGACAGGATCTAGTTGTAGGAGAAAGCTCAATATGTACCATCCTGTAAAGAACTGTCTGCTTCGTCGTCAAGTATATTTGAAATGACTTTTTATAGTTTCTTATACGCTGAAGTCTCGCCATATTCTTAAAAAAATATTTTCCACAATAAAAAATAATCATACTCTTTGATTTCAATAAGTATCTACATATGTTATACATATTGACGAACAAGAATAAATGAAAATGGACTCAAACCAATACATAGCGAGATTTTATCAAACATCATATTCAATTTCATTGTAGCGTTGTAAGTCTATGACAGAAAAACTTGAAGATTCAAATCTCTAACATTGTATTCAACAAATCTATATTGATTTCAAGTTTTTAAAGTTTCATTGAGCAATTTTTTAATCTAAAAATATCCAAATGTTAAATTTGCTTGTGATGATGTGTGTTTTGCATTACAGAAAGTGAGAGTAAAGTAAATACATCCATTTCTACTGATCTTGAAGATAAGCAACAACAAAAAACAACTGTTGTTCTGTTACAACTTTCATTATGGGAAGAAACGTGACCGTTGTGCACACATCTGTTGTAAAAAGAAGAAAAAAAAATACCAGACAACACAAAAATATTAGTTGCGATTTTTTCTTCATGAAAAGCAGTAACTATACGTTATATACCAAGCAGAGAAAAATAAAAAGCTGAATGATGAGTAGAATGAACCGAGAAATTTCCTACGATGATGTTCAACGAATATTTAAAAGCTTCAACCATATGTATAATACATGGAAAATTCAAGAGTTACCAGCAAATGAAACAATATCGACTGACGGATGGTCACGAATAAATGTGCGACCAGTTGACTATACCCATCATAAATTACAGTATACATGTTCACACTGTTTGAATATGTGGACATCCAATCGTCATACGTACATACTATTCAAATTTAACCGACAAAAACGGCAAATAAAAATGCGAATGTATGGTCAACAGTGTTTAAAATGTCATTCACAAGTTTTTGTCAAACCTTCTTACAATGAAGCTCAACTAAGAGATGCAATTGATTATGTTATAGATAAAATGACAAACAGACGCATTATTATTGGAAATGAAAATGGACGTTCTAGAGGTCGGCATAGTGAAGCAGAAGTAAACCAAGCTTGTGAAGCATGTCATTTTAGTCTTTGTCAAAATCCGATAAGTGATTAAATAGCAATATATTTGTGTAAAAATCAGAAACAATTAGAAAATGTCTTGATAGAGGGTGTGAGGGTATGGGGATGAGCGTGCTTTGGTGTGGGGTAGATGCATTCCGGAGTGTTATGAAAAGACTCACATTCTAAAATATAATTACTATAATAATAAGAATGATGATTTAAAATCTGTTGAATTAAGAAGATTTTTCAGTTTCAAAGACTAAAATTCAAATCAGATATGTAAATCATCGGTGCTCAAAAAATGAAGAGCATTTGTTATATTTTCTTTTGTACTACTAATATATTCAATCCATCGCATACAAGCTATCAATGCAATTCATGGAAAATTAAAATTTCGAACACAATATAATTGTTCTTGTTAATCATAGAGAGATTGTTTTATTCTATGTATTTTGTCACCTAGAGGACACACAATTCGTGATCATATATGAAAAATGGCTGTCAAAAAGGTTGTGATTCAACTTGGGGGTGGATATCCGTGTGATCTTCTCTCTTCATCGACGCCCGCAATTACACCCACATCCGCACTCACATTCACATCATCGGCATGAAGAATCTTAGTAACACAAGAAGTTATGTGTCGAATGACTTTTTCTTTTACTTCATCAACTTTTCTTTATGGCATCTGACACAGATGCATAACAAGTCTAGTGTCTGTGCAATAATGATATAAATGCGAAATAAAGGAAGGAAGAATGGATATCGAGATTAATTTTCTCAAGAGAAAGAGTATCATGCCGTGTCTGTCCTACAACACTTGAAAAAAAAGCCTAGATAAGTTAAGAAATAAGATTCTTCCCAATGTAATATTTAAAATTGATGAAAACATGTACAGCACTTGACAAAACTCCCGAACCTAGGCAAAAATTATCTAAACAAGAATTGTTTGCTTAGAAACTTGTACCAAAGTAAGGACTTGGTGAGTTCTAATCGTAGACAAAAGCTCCAGTCCTATCTTCACACTGAGGATGAGATATCATGTCAGTACTAAGGACTTTTCTCTTAATATTTTTGATGAATTATGTAATATTTGAAGGAAATATTGGTACTTTTCGATTTGCTGAAGTAAAGATAATATTTTTAGTGCAATAGGTAGTTCTGATGATGATCTATCTATGCCAGAGAGATCACTTCGATTTACCATGCCATGGAGATTGGCCAGAATTGCCGGTCCAATGACATAGAATGAATGATACAAATCTCCACTTCTGTATAGCCTATAATTCTAAAAAACTTTACTGTAGATTTGTCCATGCTTACGCAGTCTACAATAAAATTTTTAGGCTGAACGGTTGAGCCTAGATCGAGATTTGAATCAAATATCAGTAGGGTTGTATTTTGCCAGTTCCGTCGGCAAGCAGTACATACTCCATAAGTTAACGAAAACTTTATTGAAGAAGACTAAGAGTCGGATCTTTTGATGATGGGTCGAACAGCATCCCATCTTTTTCCTAGCTCGATATATCACAATAAGAAAAAACTCTTGGTGTTCACCTGATATCTCATCCTCCGTACGAAGACAGGACTCGAACTTTTTCCTAAGATTAGAACTCATCAAGTCCTTGCTTTGGTACAAGTTTCAAAGCAAACAACCCTTATTTAGATAATTTTCGTCCAGATCTAGGACTTGTGTCCACTACTGTATATAATAAATATAACACAACTGCCTTTTACAGTAAAATTTGCTAAAATGTAAAATTCCTCTAAGAAATGATTCTGTCTCTATAGAAGTATGTTAGATGATGTTATACAGTGTAAATTCTTTTTTTTCTTTCTGCTTGCTTCTACTAATAGTATGAAATACTAAGACACGATATAAGTGTATCCAATGTAGTGCTGGTTTATGTGTTGTACCTTGTTTTGAACTGTACTTAGGTTTTCTTTTACGGAAGGGCGATAATCTACTGTCAAGAAGATAAACACGTAATATGTTATGTAATAGTCGTCAACTCCGGGAGAGCCAATTCAATCTTCGGAGAATGTTTCCCCTATCCATCTCCACACTGAATAAAACACTGACTGTATCACATTTCGAAAAACTTCTAAACAAGTATGTTTATAAAATGTCTTTATAAAATATAAATGTAGATTGATTGATGATCACATATACAGAAAAAGAGAATCTCTATTTTTTTCCTAAAAAATCTCACTATCAAAGGGTTAATTTTGTTATCATGAAAAGTACATTTTTCTGAACAGAATAGGAAAACATTCTAGAACACAGTTATGACATCGTATCAATTATATTTCTATACAAATGTTAGATAGAAAATCAAAGATATTTAATTCTAGTTAAGATCAATTTTTATTTCGACTTGGCAAACACACCTTATTCAATATATATATATATACAGCTACAAGATAAAATATTCAACATAACAAAAAAAAAACAAATAAGATATCAATAAACAATAAATAAATAAATCTTCTTCTTCTTCTTCTTCTATGTTCTACCAAAAACTAAACATTTGATTTTTTCTTTCACATCGTTGACATGGCAAAGTTGTACCATATGCACCTAAAAAAATATTCCTATTGTTAATATATTCAGACAATGATCTTAATACATACATTTATTACAACCGTCACAATGCCATTCACGCCAATCGCGACATGTTTTGCAAATAGTACAATGCCAATCACAATCATCTTCTGCAAGATCATCATTACAGAATGAATAATAATGCATTGTTGCATCATCTGATAGAAGCATTCGAAAGAATTTTTGTATATGACCTAATTTTTCATTAGCTTCAATTCGATTCCATTTTTTTGACCACTTTTGAAAATCTTCATCATCTGATAATTCTGAAAATCTAAATATGACATAGATTATTATTATTATTATTATTAGTTTAATGTCTATTCATTAAATAGTTACCTGCCACAATTCATAATTTTTTGTTGTAATGCTTCACGATCGATTGTTTGTAATCTATCGGCAGTTTTAACATTTTTTACAAGCCAATCGACAAAGCAAGGATGTGCAGTACATTTACTATCTTTACCAAAGAAATAATCAAGATGATTGAATAAATTTTGACAAGATGAATCACATCCACATGATGAATCACATCCACGATTGGATTTATAGCAATAACAAGAACGTTTTGAACATCCACTACGACAATTACATTTCTTTGTCTTCTTCTTTTTTTCATAGTTCGTTTTTTTGTTTGTTTTTCGTTGTTCAGTATTATTTGAATATTCTTCATTTAACATTGTTAGATAACTAGAAGAATATTATAGAATTCAAATACAAAGATGATATGAAAAGAAAGAAAAAGTGCCTTACGTATTGAATTAAGAATAGTCGATGTGAAAATGATGTATATGTTGTGATCTATCCAAGTATAGTAGTACACATACATATATATATATGCATAGTTGGACGACATGATATACATAGTTTGATATAGTATAGACAACCAATCAAATTATTTGGAGGCAATTAATCAATCTTACCTAGAATTTATTTATGTTTGAAAAAGATAAAAAAAATAGTGTGTTCTGTATATTATTTCATTCCAAAAGACATTTGATACCGAAAAAAAAATTCTTTTTCAGAATGGATCTTTTTGTTGACAGATGACGTTATGAAATGATCTTAAAGACTTTTTAATTCTATATCGAATTACATTGTCCAAGCAGACTCTGAAGAGTCAACGATGAGTGGTCGAAACATGAACTTTTTTTTTCTCATTCTGTTTGGATGTCCAGCCCTCGGAAGTATTTTTCCACCGTAGATTTATTTTTGATTCCTCGGACATATTTCAGTCGCTAAAAAAATTCATCAATACATTGACTATCCGAAAAGAAGAGACCTGTTGGAAAGATTATTTCGGTTATTTGATATGATTCTGATCGGTCGAAGCCCATCAAACTATCAAGTAGTCAGAAATATTGTCTCGCCATACATTCATTTTCCATTCCTCAGATACATTTCGACTATGCGAAGACAGAAAGCCCATAGGAAAGATAGTTTCGATCAGTCGAAGCTATTCGAAATATCGAGTGCTTGGCGAGACATACATATCGAAAAGCATAATCTCAGTTGTTCCTTTTAACTTTGATCGCTAAAAACGTCTCAGAAATTCAGTTTTTAAATGATTTTTTTTTCCTTTTATTGCATGATTCACTTGAAGAATTTTGGTTTTCTACAGGTGCTTTCACATAGTTTGATCATTTACCATTGGAACAGCGAGTTAGATTTCTCGTTGCCACGCTCCTTTTCTTTATTTTTCTTTTTGTCCAAAAACAATTTTTAAATAAAACTCCCCAACAACAAAACACCCCTCCTCCCTATCTATATATATCTCTCTGTATATATATATGTCCGAGGTTAAAAGAACACGCTCCTAACACACAAAAAAGAAGAGAAAAATAGAATAAATGTATAAAACAACAGAAGAACGAACAAAAGAAAAGAGAGAAGAACAGCTGATATCTTCTATCCTAACACCTCCTTCCCCACGATAGATGAGCGCCCAATCTGCTCATCGACCAAAAAAATGAAAAACTAATGAAACAACGAAGAAAGAAAAAAAAATATGAAGAATAAAATATCAAACAAAATAGAAATAGACTAAACGGTTAACGAGTATAATGACAAATGTTAAAAAAAAATGAAGTAATGCGGTCGATACCTTTTTTGGAGTAGTAGATATATAAAGAGAAATGTTAAAAGAAGATTTATCCGGAAAATGCAACATGTCTTTAGATATGCATTGTTTTGTTTATCGAATAAGTTAAATAAAATATTTGTTTTACATGAATCGTCATATCTAAATGTTCGATATATATAGATCAATAAACTGTCACCTGTATGTATAGATCAATAAACTGCCACCTGTATATATAGATCAACAAATTTTGTATTATCATGCTTCTGGCAATAGGCGATCAAATCAGTGTAGATATTGTTGATAACGCAAAATTTACTATAAAAATCACATAATCGTTTCTGGACAGTGTTAAAATAAAAAAATGAGTAAAATGCTGTTAGAACGAAATATTCAATATATGGTCTATTGTATATAATCGAAATGTGGCGAGTAAATATAATTTCACGATTATTGTACTGAATATTATAAAATATAATGTCACTAGTATTGTATTCAATATTATAATTGACATTTGATTGATAATGTGTTGTATTGAGCAGTTTTAAATTCGTTCGTAAAATGGAATAAAATTATTGACATGTTCTTCTTTTTGATAATGGTCTTGTGCGTGTTCAACAATATACTTGACGTCAGTAATTCTCTTTATAATGCGGAATGGACCATGATATCGAGGATCCAATTTCGAGCGACCCGATAATACTTTAATCCATACCATGTCATCTAATGTGTATGTTGGATGGGTTCGTCCTTTGTCGTATCGTAGCTTACTCAATTGTTGCTGTTGTTCAATGTTGACTTGAGCCGCATGAATGGCAACTTGCTTGAATTTGTTTGCTTTTTCCCAATAATCGTTTGGTTTTAACATCGTAATTTTTGATGATGGAAATTCAAACGGCGATATTAATCGACGATTGAATGCTAATTCATATGGGATGAAACCAGTTATAGAATGAATACTCGAATTATATGCCCAAACAATAGATTGCAAATAAATATCCCAATCATTGATGTTATCATGATAATATTTCTTGAGTTGATCACAAAAGGTTGAATTAAATCTTTCCACTTGGCCATTCGACATAGGATGGTATGGAATCGAAAATATTTGTTTACAGCCAGTTAATTGTGTTATTGCCGACAATAGTTCATTTCTGAAATGAGAACCTTGATCGGATTGTATACATCGAATTGCACCATGCTTCAATATAATATCTTCAAATAGCATCTCAGCAGCAGCTTTGGCATTTTCTGATGATAATGCCCGGGCAAAAACATATTTAGATAATCTATCAGTAATGATTAATACATATTGATTCCCATCAGACGATTGAATGGGTGCCTTCCAAAAATCCATCTGCATTAATTCAAACACACCCTCGGGTGGTGGCTCTTTTTGTAATAATCCAGGCTTCTTTCGTCGTTGTACATTGAATTGAGCACATTGTGTACAAGAACGAATATATTGTTTGACCGAATTCAACATTTGAAACCAATAAAATTTGTCCTTTATCTTATGATACGTACGATTGACACCAAGATGCCCACTAAGTGGATGATCATGATATGCGGATAGAATGTCCGGAATCATTGATATGGGTATCCATGGTAATTTAATTTTCGTGTGACCATTTCTTGTAACTAATTTATATAAAAGTTGTTGATCGACAACATCGTTCAAATATTTTCGAGAATCATCGTTGATCTTTTGTATTCTTGACTGAATATCAATGTCATTCATTTGGTCATTTCGAATTCGATCGATACTAAAATCAATTAATGAAGGTGAAGGCAAGACTGTTGTTGTTGTTGATGAAACTGGAATAGGTGTTGTTTCGGAAATAGGTAAGATATTGACCTTTTTCGTTTTTGATCTTGTCATAATGTTCGATGATGAAGATTTAAACGAAGATGGTACGGGCAATTTCGCTGATAATTGTTTGGCTCTTGTTCTTGTAATGACATTGATTTGCATAGCAGCTATGTGATTAGCAGATGGTTGTGTATAATTTCGAACACACCTTGGGTGTTCGGCATCGTCAATATCGGCTTCATCATATGGAAAACGTGATATTAAATCTGCATCGCAATTACATCTTCCACGTTTATAAGTGATTGTTGTAATATCGTATTCGGATAATTGTAATTGCCAACGTTCGATTCTCGAGTTTTGAAATTTCTTTTTATTGAAACTACATAATGGGCAGTGATCAGTTTCTATCTGTATTGGTCGCCCCCAAATATATTCTTTCAACTTACAAATGCACCAGACTAATGCTAAACATTCTCTTTCCGTCGTAGAATATTTCTTCTGTGCTATATTAAATTTCTTTGAGACATATTTTATCACTTTGGATCCCTCCGGTGTAATTTGTCGTAAAACACCGCCCATACCGTAACCCGAAGCATCTGTTGATAATACAAGTGGTGAAATATCATCGGGAAAATTGAGAAATACTGGTGGTGTTGTGAGTCGACGTTTAAGATCATTAAATGCATTTTCCATTTGTGGTGTCCAACCTTTCCAAATGGCGTTCTTCTTTGTGTAAGGATATAGTGGTGCAGCAATCTTTGAAAAATTTTCAATATGATCACGATAATAATTGGCAGCTTGTACGAATGAATGGACTTGCTTGGGTGTTGTTGGTGTTGGTAATTTAATAATTGCATCAACATTGTCTTGAAGTGGTCGAATACCTTGTTGATTGATTGTGTGACCAAGATAATTGATTTCATATTGAATAAGCGAGCACTTTTGTGGATTAAGTTGCAGGTTTGCATTGTATAAAACCGAGAATACTTCATTCAAATGAGTAACGTGTTGATCGAATGTTCGAGAAAATATGATAACGTCGTCGATATATACTAAACAAAAATCCCATCTGGTATTTACCAATAATTCATACATTATACGCTGAAAGCTAGATGGTGCATTTTTTAATCCTTGGGGCATTACATTAAACTGAAACATACCATTGTATGTAACAAAGGTTGTCTTCTCTTTATCTGATGAATGAATCGGAATTTGATGGTATCCTGTTTTTAAATCAAGTTTCGAGAAATAATTATTACCATCAATCTGTTCAATGTTTCTTCAATTCGTGGCAATGGATAACTATCTCGTTCGGTGATATTGTTTAGTTGACGATAATCAATAACAAATCTATAGGTTCCGTCTTTTTTTTTTACTAAGATTACGGGTGACGACCAACTAGAATATGATTTTTGAATTTGTCCAGATTTTAACATATCATTGATAATTGTCGAAATATGTTGTTGTTTGATTGGATCGGTACGATAAACACGTGAATGGATTGGAAGATTTAAACCAGTGTTTATCATCGGTGGAGAAGAAATTTTAGCGATCGAGTGTGTTGATGTATCGAAAATCTTTTTATATTTAATTAACAATTGATGAATTTCGGATTTTTCATGTTGATCTTGAATGTGATCTAACAGTTGATCAAAAATAGCTTCTATTGAATCATGTTTAGCAACTTCGGGTTGTCGATCATTTGACGACCGTTGATCATTATCTAAACATGAATTGATTGTATAACAACGAATATCTAAAGGTTGTACAGTAAAATAACCAATATTAGTATGAATAGGTATTCGGCATATTTTATTTGTCGGATTAGCGATTGTAATATATGTTTCATAATTTTGTATAGTTAATAAAGCATTCGGAATGGCAATAAGTTTTTGATATTGGATGTTACGATTAGGATGAAAGATAATATTCGAAGAAGAAGAAATAGGTGATTTAAGTCGAACAATTGTTTCATGTTGTGGTTTTAATACTATGGTATTAGCTAACTTTAAGTTAAAATTATGTTTGTCCATATTATCGTCCATCGATATAATAGCTGATGATCTTGCTGTGTATATGATAATTAATTTACTTGATTGACAAATATCGACTGCATACTTTCTCATCCAATCTTGACCTAATATACATGATGTTGATAAAGATTTTGATATAAATGCAGTAATTTTCGTTCTAATGTGTCCTATTTGAATATAAATTTCGACTTCTCCATCGATATCGACTGTGGTATTTCCATCTGCCAGTGTATACTTACCTTTGGTTCGCTTAATTGGATTGTGTCTGATATGGGATAATGTTGATGTATGAATAAATGTATTACTAGCTCCTGTATCTAAAAGACATTGTAATCGATTACCATTTACCGGAACTGTGATAAATGATAATGGTGATGGATTTATTATTGATTCAGAGGAACCACCATCCGGCACCTCTGTTATTAGTTTTTTGAATACTTTTGTTGTTGTTGATCGACTGATGAAGTGGCAGTCTGTTGTTGACAATATCGAGCAATATGACCAGGTTGACCACAATTATAACAATAAATGTTTGATTTTCCTGACGAATGATGTTGATGGTGTAAATATGAGTGTGGTTGACTGTACATGTGTTGCGATTGAGAGAACTGTGATATTGGATATTGTTGATTCTGATTAAATTCAGAGTGTTCATATGGTGAATATTGGTTTGATGTTGGTGAAAACGATTGTTGCGTTGGATATGGATAATCATTTTGTGTCGATGAAGAATAATATGTCGATTTTGTCGGATAATTGTTCGATTGTCGACTCGATAATTGATAAGAATGTACCTGTGATGATAATGATAATTTGTCGTCGCTCTTTGTTATGGTTGATACTTGGGCTGTTTGATTTTGTCGTAATTCGATCAACTTCTGAATATTTTCCAGTTGTTGTACCTTTATCAAAAAATCGAATGATGTTGAGTAAGTTTCTTTAATAGCTTCTTGGTATAATGACAATTTAAGTCCATTGGTTAATTTACGAATTTTTTGTTTGTCTGACATAAGTGGATCATATTTCTTACACAAATCGATGATATCATAATAATATTTGATAACCGGTTCATTTATTTGCTGCTTTCGTTGGTCGAATTGTTGTTCAATTAAATATTCGTTCTTTTCAGCAAATTGTGTTATCAATGCCTGCTTGAATATTGACCAACTAAATATATAATGCTTTTGATCTGTCCACCACTTATACGCATATTCTTTCAAAAATGCTGGAGCATATTGGAAATATAATGTTTCTTTATCACCCGATATTTGTGCAATGTCAAAATAATGAACAATACTTTCGATCCATTTAGTAACATCATCATTTGGATTGCCATTGAAAGGTTTAACAAAATCTTTCATTTGTTGAAGTGGATCGGTATTAATTATGACATGAATAGGTGCCATAGTCATATTCGAATATGGCAATTGTGCTGTTGTTGTCGTCGGCTGTTGAACAACTGAATACGATGCATCAGGATGAGTTACACGTACGGTATTTGGTTGCTGTTGAGATTGTTGTAATTTCATAAGTTCTAATTCTTTTGTTAATCGATCAACTTCTAATTTTAAAAAATAAGTTTGATCGAGGGTTGTAGTTGGTGATAATAGATTGAATGATGTGTACTGTAATTCATCTGATATTCGTTTTTTTTCCATATTAGAATTTAATTGTAAAGCTTGTGGAATAGATGATGTGTTGGTTGGTAAATCAAATCCTTGTGAAGTCATTGACGCAACAGATGAACGAAGGATTTCTTCAGTATTGATAGATGATGATGCTGGGCATAATGTAGATTTCATATCATTTGATGTCAATGTTTTTCGAGTAGGATACATTGATGGAGATAGTTCGACTGAATGATGTTGGTTAATTATTGATGACTGAGATTTTTCAGGAAACAATGCTGATTGTGACAATGAGCATCGATTTAACAACGGAATTAGTAATGAATTTTCGGTTTTTTCACTAAATGATACATTCTCTTCTTTATATTGTGGATTCTGAAATTTCAATATTGGATTTTCTTCTTGACTGTTGTTGGTCTGTTGAAAGGTATCAGTCGTTGTTGTTGTTGACTGATCTAAATGTGATGATGTCATTTTTCGTGTAGGTGGTAGATCAGATGAAAGTTCATTGATTGTTTTATTAATCTGTGTTGTACTTCTTGTTTGATAATGTTGAGAATTCGACATACGAAATTTGTTGAATAATAATACTTTTGGACGATCGGGTTCGATTATTTATTGTAATGATGTTTCAACAATAAATCGGCTAGTGCACCAGTTAGATTTCTCGTTGCCACGCTCCTTTTCTTTATTTTTCTTTTTGTCCAAAAACAATTTTTAAATAAAACTCCCCAACAACAAAACACCCCTCCTCCCTATCTATATATATCTCTCTGTATATATATATGTCCGAGGTTAAAAGAACACGCTCCTAACACACAAAAAGAAGAGAAAAATAGAATAAATGTATAAAACAACAGAAGAACGAACAAAAGAAAAGAGAGAAGAACAGCTGATATCTTCTATCCTAACACAGCGATAGAAATATGTTTACAGTCCTGAAAACAAAATATTCATAATGAATTTAGTTTCATAACACCCTAAAGGTCATGAGCTCTTGGATAACTCTAATTTTCGATTACTCATTGACAAAAAACCTAGTTCATAGGATCATCTAAAACTATTGCTTTATTTTCCAGCCCTCGAAATTACTCAGATAGTGAAATATTATAAACTTGAGGGTGTGGTGAGTGCGGATAGGTGAAGCTTGAGCAGGTGTATAGCTTTTTGTCATTCCCACATCCACAGCTACGGCCACACTCTCAAGAAGTATATTAATATCGAATCGCAACTGTCTGTTACTATTAGTAAACGACATCGTTCGATATTTTTTCTTTTTAAATCTTAAAATATATTGAACTCATCTACATAGATAATAGTAGTAGCTGGTACCATACTATATCCCAGTGAAAAATGTGGAACTTTCTAATGCGTTCCAACAAAAATTGGAATGCGTTCCGAAATGAAAATTACATGCTGAGAAACGTTCTAGTTTTGTTGGAACGCGTTCTTTTCTTAAAAAACGCGTTTCAACAAAAATTGGAACACGTTAGAAAGTTCCACATTTCTCACTGAGATTTCTTTTCCTTGGCATATAGTTCTTATTTTCTTCTACTTTACTTATGATTCTAAGTTTTTTTTTTGTGCAATAATAAATCATCAAGCGGTTTCAACATTTTATTATCATTTGAATAAACTTAACATAAAGAAATGTTTTGATCCTTTTTACCATTTCTCTTTTCAGTAATATTTTTTCTTATTTATCTTCACATCAGTTCTCTTATTTAAGTATGGATTGATCGAAATTCTTCACATTCAATATCTTCTTTACCTGATATCGATCATCTTTTATTATCTTATTGGACTTATTTTTCAATCACTAATTATTATCTTAACACAGCAGTGATCTTAGTTATTATTTGTTACATATTTCAATGTGATATGCATTGAATTATTTTTCATCAATTTCTTTTTCTTCAAGGTGTGATGTTTATTATGAGAAGTGTTTCAATTTCTGTAATATCATTAAGTGTTCCATTACTTGATTGTAATACAACAGTTATAGGTTCATCTCTAATTGAAGCATTTTTATATCATGTTTTCAATTCGTGCAACATGTGGTGATATTTCATTTTCTGGACATGCAATTACACGTAAAAAACAATTGAATGTTTTAGAAATATTCCATATATTGTTTTTAGTTACATTATATGCTCTGGCTTGGACAACTTATTCAAAAGGTGAAAAACATTATCCAGTACGATGATCACGGAATCGAGTTAAAGGTAATAATCATGAAATAATTTATGGTAGATCTACTTGGTTTTATCGAAAACTTGATTCAACTGGTGATCCAAGGGTGTGGGTGGGTGTGCTCTTTTGTAACACCCACACCCTACCATCGAACCATTTTTGTGATGTAAAATTCAATATACTGTATATGAAATATAATCAGGTTGTTGATAAGTTTTAATTACAATTCATCCAAAATTTAGATCAACTGTGCAAACATAATCATCCAACGGAGCTGAATCACTTTTACCAATGAATACTAAACCCACGACAGCAAAATCCAAAAGACAAACTAGGGATCTGATATACTGCATCTTTGTAAAAAAAAAAGAGAAAGAAAATAAACTGATATATCTCTATGAAAAAAGAACATATAGAAGTATTTGCTCTTCTCGGTTAGCTTTATAAACGACATCTTCTTCCTGTTTTTGTTGACATAACTTCGATAAATGTTTGTGTATCATAGTCACACATTAGGGAGTATATTAAATGTTGCATTCAACTATCAGCAAGTTGCAGGCATAAACAAATTTAAGAATAAATTGATTGTCATTATTGTTAAGTCAAAATTTAGATAGTTCAAAACGGTTTTCGTAAATTTAATCAAAAGAAGATCAGGAAAAAAAACTCGGGTTCTTCATTGTTTGTTTCAAGACAAACCTGTATCATCAAACAATTTAATACAATCAGATTCATAAATGAAAGAAAATTGAAATGAAGTAATATTCAGCAGATAAATAAGCAATATCATAATAATGATATTTTTCAATTTTTTAATATTGACCTTGTATATGATGATAATTCATTTATTCATTCACATATTTCATTTGTATTTGTATTATTGATATGAGTAGCTTTTTGTTACATGAGGTAAGGATAAAAAATCATAAAATAGTATATGATGTACGAAAAACTTTAAAATTCAGAATTAAGTATAACATAAAGCTTCACCTTTTGGTTCTGTTATTTCTACCCGTTATCCTTAGCATTCCGAATATATGTCACAGACAAAATTAAACTCAAGCAGAATTAAACCAAGTCAAATATAAAATATCGAATTCTTGTTATTAATTAGTGTTTTCACAATCGATAGAGAAAAAATATGTAAATATTTAATAAAACGAATTTTATATAAAACAAAAAAGCGTCTATTTTCATATGCTGCCTCTTATGACGAATAAAATGGTGACTTGATTTTCAACATCAGAAGTGAAATCTCAAAAAGATTTTGTATGAAGAAGCTAGGCAATATTTTATATTTTAAAAAAGTAAATTTCGAGAAAACACAGTCATCATACAAACAGTATATGAAAAAAAATTCTTTGTTGCCTTAAAAATAAATATTAAGCAGATAATCATTCTTGCTTTATATAGGATATGAATGTAGTGATGAAAACATCCACACTCAAATAAATTTATAACAATATTACTATATTCTAAATATCTGTAACAAAAAATGATTTGGATGAATTTTATTAGAAACAAATAATCATAAATGTAATCTAATTTTAACACATTTCGTTTCTCTTTATTTTATTATTGAAGAAGAAAAAAATCATTTATTCACATCCTTGTGTATTAATACTAGCTTGTAAAGTTTTTATTGCTCTTTGAATACGCCATATAAGCAAATCTTCATAACATTTGTCTTCTGTTGTTGAAGATGGCGATTTGGATGACTCTTGTTGAATCTCTTGCAACATAAAGTTGAATTCTTCTATAAGTATTTTAGCACCGGATAACATGTATTCTGCATCATCTAATGAAGACTCATCCATCGTTGAATAATAATCAAAGGACCACGACATAATATCTTCCCAATCATCGCTAGATGAATCATCTTTATCCGTTGATTCTATTTGATCAAGTTCACTTGAAACGATTTTATTGTTCTCAACATCGCATTTCATATCTGGTGTTGAATTTTCAAATTGATTATTTAACTTTTGATCTTCCAGATCATGTATATTGTTACCTGTTGCGATTAATTCGTCCAATTCAGTGTCAGTAGTAATTGTTCTTGTAGATGGTATACCATATGCACACTCAACCATATCCAAAATTTTGTACAACGGAACATTCACGAATCCGTCCTTGCTTTGATACATCTTGCATGGAGTCGTTCGTGTACTACAGGTGCACGTCGTTGTCTTACATGGTGATTTAGCCATTTATAAAATTGCAATTTGTTTTGTATCAGTTGTACGTCTTATATCTGATGTAAGAAGTAAAAAAAATATTATCGTCTTAAGATTGTTATAAGTTACTTTAATTCATTGTCCTTCATTTTATAGGCTCAGTTTCTCTTAGCAAGAATGTATTAAATTAGTATATGCCTGTGTAAAAGGAAAACAACATCCGGCGGGATAATTGTTAAATTTGAATGCGCACCGAAGATAACAATGTGTGAATAGCTATAGAAAGATAAAGAGAAAATGAGAAAACTAAATGTATATCGATGTTGATTGATAACAAGGATATGTCATTTTCAATGCATATTACCAATTAATTTTGCATATGTTGATATGTCTAGCCAAAGATTGTTATTTTTATTCTTCATTATCGTTAAAAATGTTCAATATTTGGCTGTGTAAATGTATAGAACAAGAAAAAAAAACATTGTATCATCATTAGAAAGATGCGAACGCAACATAATAGAAAATATGTTCGTTCATTCGAATCAAATTACGATGATAATTGCCATAAAATAGAAGTTAATGAAAAAAAACATGTTTTTTATGTTAGAAAAAGCTCCGATCAGTTACTACGACGCTTCACAAAAAAAAATTTCTACATTCAACGCCTTGATACTTCGAATTGATTTTTCTTGTTTCATATAAAAGGCTTAATCAAACTTGATACAAAGGAAGTTCGTCTTGAATTTTCAAGCACGACTACCATCGATATAAATAATAAGATTGCTGATTTATTTATTTTATTATATGAACAATATATAGGTTTTTTGAAATTCAAAGGTTTTATATAGCGCTTATACACATTTCTTCTATATGTGTACAGGTGGTGTCCAGATGCCAGAGGTATCAATCAATAGCGTGTAGACAAAAAAAAGAGTATTGATTGAGTATGAAGAACAATATATCTAGGCGAAGGGAATACATAGGACACATATTAATGACAGATGTAACATTTAGCAATAACTTTAATGTACCATTTTTCAATGTAAAGAAATTGTCGCCCTTCGTGATAAAGAAATCGAACTAACAGAATGAGAAATTTTGGGTGTGGATGTTATAACTTCTAGCATTCATACTCACACCCAGTCTCTGATTGCTAATAGATAATTGAGTCATTTAGTTTGACACATTCTTTGTAGAAATTATTTTCAACAAAAGTAAGCATCCATTCGTTATGTTTGTAGTTTGACCATAAGTGTTTTGGTACATAATGTAATAGTTCTCCTTACATCATTATAGATAAAGATACACATGTTTGACTTGTCTGTCGCAACAGCTAAACGTTTGAGAAAAAAGTTTTTCGATTTATAATCGATTTTATCTTTTGATATCGTATGAAAACAACATTATGGATAATTTCATACAAACATATGAGAATATTTCGCCACAATGATGGCTGTATCGAAGAAATAAAACAGGAACATGTCATGACAGAATTCGAACTGAAAAACAAAATTAAAGAATAATATCGTGCAAAAGGATGGGTGGGTGTAGATGTGAGGTTTGATAAAATGACATGAATACCACTCATACTCACATCCACATCTATACTGTCGAAACTCCATTAAAAGTTTCTTATTTCTTACATAAATAATGCATTATTCATACATTAGTATATATGAAGAATAATTTGTTGATTGTGCTTATAGATTTTTTTAAATTTCTTTCGTTTACTGTCAGTAATATGAATAATCCTTATAAGTGCCATAGGACCCGAACGAACAATAATCTGAATTGGTGAATATCATTTGCAAAAGGTACCTATTCAAATATACAATTTCAGGCTTATTCATTCATACACTTGCGTATATACTTCACATTATTTATCAAGAGAAACCAAATAATGTAGGACTAGAGAGTCGAGAGGCATGCTTCACTTCTGAAAATATATAAACATACTCTTATTCAGTCAAGAAGCTTATTGAATTAAGACACACGAAAATGCGACTTTGGTTTATTCTCATTCTCATCATCAGTTTTGTTGAATTCAAGTAAACTATTACATCGAATTCATCTCAAAAAATATGTTTTTTTCTTGTTATCTTTTTAAGTTGGGCAGGATTTTTCAGTCGTAACAAAAATGAACGTTGTATACCAATCATAGATGATTGTAAGTATGGTTTGAAGTGTCGTCTGTCAGCAAGTTGCACGATCAGCACTGGTGCAAAGAATGTTATGTGCTGCCGACCTCCACGAATATTTTTAAAATGAGCTGATGGAATTGTTTATACTGGAGAAAAAGACTTCAATACAAGAAACTGATTTTCGTATTTATCATTGTCATGCATTGCCTTATTTTTATGTGAAGTCCGTTTTTTTCCTTTATTTAAATCTAAATTGTGCATATGAGTAAGCTTAATGTCAATAATATAGTTTATATTTTATCTATAGAATTCCTATATCATATAAGCGGTAAGAGTGAGTATGGGTGGATGTGGGGTGTGGGTAAAAAAGAAGAAACATCCAGCCACACTGCGCCAAACCGATCCTATCCGCACCCACACCCTTCTTCTTCAGATGAACGACACTCATGCACCACTAGTTGAATTTACGGAGCACACGAAAGAGTGTGCGTGTCGTGGTGTTGCTCATCTCAAGAAGTGCCAATTCTTCGATGTCTGATGCAAAATTCAACTGAAGTTGTTACGTAAAGTTGATAGAATAATGCTTGAACATCAGTTAAAGGAATACGAGATGAAACTTTTACTGTGTAAATATTCGAAATGATTTTATTTTTGTTTTTAAAAACTAATATTTTTTTCGTTTGTTTTTCGAACTTTTCTTCATATTTTACGAATTTTAACTTACCCTCGATGATTAGTTTCTCTTGCATCCGATTATATTTATTTATTTATTGATATTATGAAAAAGGATAATAAATCAAAACAATTATCTATTTCTATACATGAATACGAGAGTCAACCAATAGAAACATCATGTGGAGCAGCGAATAACCATGCAAAGACTTTTGAACATTGACCTTATTGCTTCGACGAAACTGCAGTTACATAGGACTTTTCTTAGTTGAAATCGTTATCTTTTAACAAACAGTGGAATGATTGATTTAAAAATTTTGATTTGAAATTTTAGAAGAAAGAAACTAACTGAACAACTAAAAATTGTTTTCTAGCGATAGAAATCATATTCTATCACCCATTTATTGTAAAATAAAACTTTCCTCATTCTTTATTGACTAATGAACTAGCCAAAGAAAAGTTTCACTTATTAAATTCCTATAATTTTATAAGATCCAGAATCTTATTCTAGCTAAACAATTTCCAACAATTTTAGATCATTTTCGTCAATTATTGATTCATAATGTAACAATCTATATCGTTTTGATAGATTTTCATATTTATTTATTTTGAATGAATATTTTAAGTAATTATCATCAGTTTATATACCATTATTATTACAAAGGACGTATATACTTAATAGGCTTGATTATTAACAATAAACATGATTGTCATCAATATAAACATCATCATCAATTATTATTAGTTTTTTTTTTATTTGAACAAAGTGATACAAATACATTATTTATTTGATCTTATAGATCGTAGATTAGTTGCAAGTCATTGATTTGTTTAATCAATATATACTAACTGGAAGAATTTATTAAAACGATATACATTCTTATTATCATTAAAAATTCTTTGTACACTTCAAAGAATACATTTAGATAAAAGTGATCTTTTATTTCTTTTATTAATTCAAGAATTTCGAACATGACCATATATATATATATCAATATTACCTTTATCGAAATTCATTATTTGTCATCCTATTAAAATGATGTTAACACTTGATCATTTAAACATTAAATAAATAATGATAATAAATCGAATGAAAATCTTTGTGCAGTTATAAAATGTTTAATTAGGAAAATAAATTATAGAAGAACAATATTAATTCAAATTATAAAACAAGATTTCAATAATCTTAATCATTATGGTGAAAATTTTATACTTAAATGAATATTAAAAAAAAGTTAATTGTTCTATAGATATGACAAGAAAAATTTATATAGAAATGGTTAAAAATCTAACTAAAAAAAAACTTCTTCTCATTTGTGATGTCACTGATATGTTTTTGTTTTTATGTTTAATTTATATGTAAGAATAAACATAATGAAAATTAAATTAAAAAATTAATATATGGAAATATTTTAAAACAAGAAACAAAATTCAAATGTTTGAAATACATTAAACGATCTAATTCCAACATTTATTTTAATTGTTGAAGATGAATTTTGGTGTAAAATCGATCATAAAATAGTCAATAGATTGAAGTTAAATATAAACAAGAATTGATTTCGATTAAATTGATATTCGAGAGAATATTTTCTTCTGTTGTAGAATACTTTATTTTATAGTAAGAAAGAAAACGTCGTCAATCAATTTTTTATGTTACCAGTAAAACAAAAAACGTATTTAGGCAAATAATTATTAGAATATTAAATATTTTTCTAATGTTAATTTTTGAAAGTGTCATATTGATTGATAAATAAATCATTTAGAATTGATTAAGTGAAGAAATTAATCAAACTAGACTATAAAGAAATCTCTAGGATATGTCGTAACTAGACTAGAAATTAAAGTATATGAATTTAAAAATATTTCTCTCGCTTTACCTATAATCTTTGAATGACTTCTTCGATGGAAAGCAAGTCGAAATTTATCGAAAATTACCATTATTTTAACTGAAAATTTACTTGCCTTTAATTAATTTTATTTGTATTTGATCTATTTAAAAATCTTAAGAATATTTTCTTTTTTTCTTTCAATTAAATAAATGAAATATTTATTTGAATATTTTAATTTTTCATATTTAATTATTCCTGTTTGTTTTTCTTTCTC